CCCCCCCCCCCCAACTTCCTGCCTCTGGCAACCACCAATCGGTTCTGTGTAGTTCTTAAAGTTTTTTGTGTATAGTTTGAGGTAAGATTTTTAAGTTCACTCCCTCCCTCTCCCTAGCACTCAATCCATGGATAAACAGTTTTTCCTAAACAATAAATTTGAGTAGATCATTCTAAACTATGATGAGAAATGCCACTTTCATTTTAAACAAAATCCATATACATGTCTGTTAATGTGTCTTCTGTTTCATCGATTACATGTCAATTCCTGTATCAGTATTACACTGTTAGAATTACTAAAGCTTTAAATGATACAATATGTCCTACATACTATCTATAATATATACTGTTTGCCGTAGCTTTAAATATCTGATAGAGTATACTATTCTTTACTTATCTATATGTATGTTTGTATGTTTGTGAGGGTACTGTTCTTGCTCATCATCTCCTTCCATATGAATTTTAGAATTGGTTTATCAGCTTCCGTAACTAATGTTGGGATTTAGATTGGTTTGCTTTTTGACTGTACATTGGGATATATGACATCTTTTTATTTCTATGTATTTTACAGAAGTCCATGCTATTAAGGATGATATTGTTTCTTGTTGGTATGTGGGAAAACTATTGGTTTCTTAGATCTTGATTTTGTTGGTTGGTTGGTTGGTTGGTTGGTTGGTTGGTTTAGCCGCCTTACTTTATTTTCCCACTCTTACCAATTCTTTCAATTATTTCTATTTGGTTTTACTAACCCAGTAGTCACCTAGTGACAGATGGTGACGTTTTTGTTTTTTCCTTTTTAATTTTTAGACTTTGTATTTCTTTTTCTTGTCTGATTGCATAGATTGGAACCTTCTAGCAGAGGGGTGGGGAACCTTTTTTCTTCGAAGAGCCATTTGGATATTTATAACATCATTTGAGGGCCATACAAAATTATCAACTTAAAAATTAGCTATGAAAAAAACTCCTAGATTTATTGAATTTTGAGTCCTGCCTGCGGTTGCCTTGGAAGGGCCAGACCAAATGATTTCGGCCCTTGAGCTGGACTAGTACATGATTGAATAGTATCAGAGGTAGAGAACTTTGTTATCTGGGTCTTGACTTTAATTAGAGAAGCTATGTTTTGCCATTGAGTGTGATGAGTGCTGTGGGTTTGTGACCACTGTTCTTTGTTAGGTGGGCACCGTTCTTTTCATTTTTAATTCAGTAACAATTTTTGTTACAACTGAGCATTATCAATGCTTTTTCAGTATCTGTGGAGGTAATAATATATATATATATATATATATATATATATATATGTTTCCTTCAGAGCCTTTAAATTATTTCCTGATGATTGAGCTTTGAATTCATTCAACAAATATTTATTGAGTGGTTATTGTTTGCCAGGAGCCCTTCAAGGCATTGAAGGTAAAGCAGTAAACAAAATAGACACAAATTTCTGCTCTCTCTGGAGTTAACATTCTAGCGGAGAGTTCTTAGTATTTGGTAATGTTCAGCCTATCTGAATGACCTGGATTATTCTTTTAACATATGTCAGATGGCATTTATTAAGTGTTTTTTGAGGGTAGGACTGCTTTTCCTCTCCCACGTTCATGACTTGAAATAGCCTATAGAATATGTTTTGACTGGCTGGAGTTAGTTATATCAGGCTTATAGATTGATATGGTGAATCTTCCCATTTTATGTCTATGCTTGGTAATAGTTAACAAGGATTATCTGTTTGTTGATGTTTTGATAGAACTTGACTATTAAACTATTTGCCATTTTATTTTTATGAGTGGGTCTTTGCTTACACAGAGGTAGGCAAAAGTAGGTTTACAAATAAGTAATACAAGAAACTCACGTAATCAAAACTGTAAACTTACTTTTGCCAACCCTTGTATTTTAAACTTGGCTATTGGTTTAAGGCTTTTAATAAATCTCTTCCTTCATGACCCAATTTCAGCATTACATTTTTCTAGGAAATCTCACTCAGTTTGCGTAGATTTTCAAATTTATTGTCATGAATTTCTGCCTAATCTCTTTAATTCTTCTCATAGGTTTATTATTTGTATTGCTTTACTCTGTTGTATATGTTCCATATTTTTTTCTTCTTGGATACAAAGCATTCTGTTTTATCAGTGTTTCACAAAACCTGGCTTTTGATTATATTGATTGAATTTATCTTGTTTACAATTTTTACTTTATTGGTTTTGGTCTTTTTAAAAAAATAAATATTTCTTACTGATTTGAGAGAGGAAAGGAGAGAGAGAGAGAAACATCAATAATGAGAGTGTTGTCATTGATCGCTGCCTCCTGCATGCCCCGACTGGGGATCGAGCCTGCAACCTAGGCATGTGCCCTGACTGGGAATTAAAGCGCCATCTCCTGGATCCTAGGTTGATGCTCAACCATTGAGCCACGCCCGGCTGCAAATACATTCTTCATTAGCAGTCTTGTTTTGGTGATTAATAGCAAACAATATGCTTGGATTAGAGGATCGATTTCCAGGGGATGCAAAGTTTCTTCTCTTCTTGGCAACAAAGCCACTTGCAGAGATCTGGAAATCATGAGTTTCCTAAGTGGGAGGAGGTGATGTTCTGGTTCACCTGAAAAGATCCCTTTAGATTGGCTGGTATGTTACAGTCCTCTTTCAAGACCCAGTTGTGTCGTGATGACGATGGGGTCAGGGTTACCCTAGTTGGGGTCCTTGCTGAGCCCAGCCAGCATGGGGGCCATGTCCCTTACCACATCTCCAGGGATGTGACCGGTCTACTTGGGGAGTGCTTCCAGATTCACAGGCATGATGACCTGGTCTGTGGATTGCTGGATCCTGGGCAGGGAGATAGCCACTAGGCTTGCCAATAAGGTCCTTGTGGTGTACAATGCAGAGGAAGTGGAGGATGAGCTTGAGGGAAGTGCCTGGGATGCAGCACCAGCTACTGGTAGTATTGGCAGGCACTTGTCCTTGCCCACATCCATGCAGTGGGCGTATATCACCTCGATGGTCCTGTTCCACTTGATGAGGCAGTCTTGGTAACTGCTGAGGTTGAAGCCTATGATGATGACTTTGTGAAAGATCATGGAGCGCCTGGAGGCCTTGTGGCCCTGCACCATCAGCAGGAACTTGGAGTTGAGGAACAGGCATGACAGTTAGACCAGGGACTTGTGGGTGAAGGGGTCCTTGTTGCAAAGCTTTTGGGCTGCTCCTGTGCTTGTCCATCACCTCCAGGATGAAGGCCTGCATGGCTGTGTCTAGCACCTCATCAGTTATGCCTGCCTTGTCCAGCTGCAGCTTCTCCTGGCTGGACTTGGACCAGTTCTGAAGCATGTCCAGCACATGGCAGCGGGGGGAGGTTTGATTTCCTTCCCACAGCACATCTTGGGGTGGGCATCCAGCATGGTGCCCCTGCGGTGCATGCCACCCATGAAGATGAGTGGCATGGCCTTATCATAGCAATACTCCGTGTGGTCCATGCCCATCATCACCAGATCCTCCTGCTCTGGTGATATGGTGTGCCTTGGGCTCCACAGGCCCTCCAGCACCTGTTGCCCCAGATCGACCGCCAGGACCTGGGAGGGTACTGCCTGCAGCACCCTCTACACTGACAGGCCCTTGCCGGGCCTAGGGTAGGGTGCCTGCTTTAGCAACAGGTCAGTGGGAGGCCCACCAAGCTCACATCATGTGGAAGCAACCCCTTTCCCAGCTACCCAGCTGCCCTTCTTATTTTCTTAAATAAACATTTCAGTGTAAGCATTTTCTGAGTTAGTTCTTTGGCCAAATTCTAGGAGTTTGGTGTTATATCTTCATCTGTTGTTCATTTCTAAATAGGAGAGCAAGTTTGGTTTCTCTTCAGCATAACTATTTAGAAAGATGTGTTAAATTTTCCAGTCTAATTTTTTATTTTGTTACTCTAATTTTTTAAAAATTGTTGATTTCTAGTTTTGTTGCATTGTGTTCAAAGAATGTGGCCTATATGCTTTCTGATATTTGGAATTTGAGTTATGTTCTTGACCCATTACATGGTCAATTGCTAAGCTTTCTATGAGTATTTGAAAAGTTTATGTTTTCAGTTTACATATAAAATTCTTTGTGTATCTATAAGTAGTCATTATTGTTACTAGATTTACAATACTCCCAAGTTTTTACCTCAGTTGTTGATTGCATTCAGTTGAAGCAAGCTTTAGAGTCTGATCCATGTAGGTTTGAATCTAGGTTCTCTGACTTGCTAGCTCTGTGATCTTTGCATCTTACTTTTTTCTGTAACGTAGGACTTAAAACATTCACTTTATGGGGTTTTGTTAGCGTAGAGGAGATAATGTGTGTAAAATTCCTATATCCTATTCCAGTGTCTGGCACATAAGTAATAGTAATGATATTTAGATTTTGAGTGTATATCCGTTGTTGGACGTTATTGTCAGTTTTTCGTAATTGTACCTTATGCAGTGAGTACTTCTCTGTACATTGTGTTCACTTTTAAATTGGGTTCTAAGGTCAAAGGATATCATTTTTATGGCTGTTTTTTACCCCCAGATTGCTTTCTGAAAGAGTTGTATCACTTTATTCTGCTCTCAATGATAGTAGGAGTGTAACTTTAAGGTTGAATGTTATTGTTATTACTTAGAAAAATGAATTTTAATAGGTTCTCAATGATCCTTTATCTGCATTTGTTTTAATACTACTTGGAAAGACAAACTATTCTGACATTTACAAACTTTCTGACATTCGTGACATTTTTATTTGTAATTTGAGTAATAAATAGCTGCCATAAAATAAAATGGTTGCTTTTAGACTACCTTCTAAATAGGTTTCTTACAGGCTGTAAGAACTGTGTATACTGTTTTCCTCCTCTTCCATGTTTGTATGGTTTTCCAGATATGAATTTGTTTAGGCAGGGTTTCCCAACATAGGTCTTATTGACATTTTGGGGGCAGATAGCTCTTTGTGGGGGCTGTCCTGTGCATTGTAGGATGTTTAACAGCACTTAAGTGCTTTTCACAATTTAGTCTCATAATCATGAAGTGCTTACTGAGGGGTTACATGGAGGCATATCCTCTCTTTAGGAGATGTTTTTAGCAATCTCGAATGGAGAAGGAAAAAAGCTTTAGAGAAACTAAAATGAATGTAGTACCTCCATGCCCATCATTTCACTTGGAGTTTACTATGTTATTTTGGAAACACTTTAGGTAAGTTGCTGTTAATCCTCACCGGAGGATATTTTTTCCATAGATTTTTAGAGTGGGAGGGAAAGAGGGACAGAGAGAGAGAAACAGACATGGGTGTGAGAGAGAGACATCAATTGGTTGCTTCCAGCACCTGCCCGGAGGCCAGGGCCTAATCTGCAACCCAGGTATGTGCCCTTGACTAGGAATCAAACCCTAGGCCCTTCTGTGCGCAGTCTGATGCTCTAACTGCCAGGGCCACTTTAGGTAAGTTTTATAGTTTGAGTTCCTGGTTCACAATTGAAAGGGTTTTCTGAGTTGTACTAGCTTGACAACTTTTGCTTTTTTAATTAAAAAAAAAAAAAAAAATCTTGTGGAGCTTTTTATTTCAAGAAAATTCTGACCTAAGTAGTTAACTAGCTTAGTCCTGAGAATAAGGCTGTGTTTCATCATAGCACAATAGTGTACTTCAGGAAGATAACTTTTCTCAATAGCTATTATTTTTTTCAAAATTCCTAATGGAGGTTTAGGAAATTTAGAACTATTTCCAGATACATTATCTAATTGATTAAGTAGGAATAGAAAATTTTTTGGCAGATTTGTCTTTGCAAGAATCTTAGGAAATAGGAAAGGTCAGGTGGTGGTGTCTGTATCTGAAATAAGGGATGGGCTATGTAGGGTGAGTTGGGACGTGACATTAAGTGGACTCGTGAGTTCAGAAGAGTCATATTAAGAAGAGACCTTTATGAGTTGCAGGATCGATCCCCAGTGAGGGGGATGCAGGAGGTAGCCAATCAGTGACTCTTATTATTGATGTTTCTATCTCTTTCTCTCCCTCTCCCTTCCTCTCTCTGAAATCAATAAAGATAAAATAAGAAAGAAAAGACCTTTACTGTTCTGCAGAACCACTCTACCTTGGCTTTTCTTTGTGTAGAGCAGACTATAAGAAGTGGGTTTTTGGATGGGATGATGGAATTTGTGTAGTACCTGTCAGGCCTAAAAGATCTATTTTTAGACACATTCTCTCTTTTACCACCTTACAGTTTGACTTTGTTCCCACTGTTAAGATTTGGAAATCCATTTTAGAATATCCAGCTTCTAGTGAACTTTTAAACAAATTAGTTTTTATCTTGATACTTTATTCATTATTATGTAATTTGGGGGAGTTAGAAGAAGTGCCATACATCCTGTATGGAAAAAGACACAAGTTACTAATAAATTTGGCCTCGGAGTCTTCATATTCTCTCTCTTTAGGTAGAAAGTTAAACACAGTGTCATTATCATTATGTTGTTGGGGAGGGGACTGCAAAAGCAAAATTATTGTCACCAGCTACTCTAAAGGATGTTAATTACATTCTTGGGATTTAATTTTTGCTGTGTTATGTCCCCTGGCTGTATTATTGGGGGCTGGGGGCTCTTTCTAGATGGTGTTCCCAATAAAACAAATTGTCATATACAGGTCATGTACCTGCAATTCATGGCTCTTTATAAAGGTTCATGAGAACATGTACTTACATGATTTTATTTTCATAAATTATTAGAACGAATGCTGAAGCTGGGTATGTATTTTTGTATTGAGTTCATTTAGAGAGCCACAGGAATTGACACGGTTCAACTTGTCTTTGGTTTAAATTTGAACATGCAATTAGTATATTAGCATTTCAGAAGTTTGTTGTTGTAGGTCTCTTGTACAGAGGTGGAAATCTGGAATTTTTTGTTCTGTTTTAAATTAGTGTTTGTTCATTCATTCATTCATTCATTCATTCAACAAGCATTTCCTAATTATCCCTAGAGTTTGGACACACCATAGGAAATCTAGAATTGTACAATCTGTACCTGCTATTGTAAATAATAGAGATTTTGAAAGGACTTCAAAAGTAAGTAAACCTTTCTTTTCTTCAAAATGATAGTTCTATAATTTCATCCTTCCTTGGGCTAATTTTTAAAAAAGTATTGCCTTTTCCGCTGATGACAAAGTAAAGACTTCTTATAAAAAGGCAAAGAATCAGATACATGAAACGTATCTCTAACATTGCTTTCGTTTGGGGTAGTCTAGAGAGCACGTGATTTGGAATCTGATAGACTTCAAGTTCCAGCCTCAAGTTCCAACTGATGATTCTCAGTACATCACTCAACTACTCCGAACTTTAAGTATTCCTCTCTCTTCTGGGAAGACGAACACCCTCACAGAATTGCTGTGAAAATTTTAATATGTTATCACATAATATGACATTTGACTCTTAAGTGAATGTTCTCACCCTACTTTTTGCTTTTTACCTCATTTCTCTAGTAACCAATGATGTTGATTCCATTAGTATATTCATTTGTATATCTCTGTCGCTTAACAAAAGTTTAAAGTTTTTGATTTAGTCCATTTTATCTTTGTGTACGTGTTCCTTTTGCTTTTTGTGGCATAGCATAAAACACTATTGGCCTGGCCGGGCATGGCTCATGGTTGAGCGTTGACTTATGATCTAGGAGGTCTCGATTGGAATCCTGGTCAGAGCACATGCCTGGGTTGTGGGCTCAGTCCCCAGTGGGGGGGGTGCTGGAGGCAGCCGATCAATGACTCTCTCATCATTGATGTTTCTCTCTCCCCCTCTCCCTTCCTCTCTCTGAAATCAATAAAGATTAAAAAAAAAGACACTATTGCCTAGTCTAAGGTCATGAAGAATTCACTCCTATGCTTCCCTCTAGGCATTTTATAGTTTTAGCTCTTAGGTCCTTTTTGAGTTAATTTTATATATGGTGTGTGGTAGGGGTCCAAATTCATTCTTTTGCTTGTTGTTCCAGTATCATTAATTGAAAATACTATTCTTTCCCCATAATGTGTTTTAAAATGGAAATGAATAAAATGTAAACATACTTGTTTTTAAAATGTTGGTAATTGTATAGGTGATACTTTATGCTATTTTTTGTTTTTCAAATATCTATAACAACTTTGTTATCTGTAACAGGTACATATGTATGTACATATACGCATACCAGAGCATTACAGTGATTAGAGGAAGGGGGAGTGATAATGTTTGTTCATTACTTTGATACTTTTAAATTTTATTATGAGGGGTTTTTTGTAATTAAAACCAGTAGAGCCTGGCCGGAGTGGCTTAGTTGGTTGAGTCTTTGTCCTGTGCACCAAAAGGTTGTGGGTTTGATTCATGGTCAGGGCACATACCTGGGTTGCAGGTTACTGATCAATGTCTTTCCCCCTCCCCTCTTTCCCTTTCCTCCCCTCCCTCCCTCCCTCTCTCAGCATGTCCTAAGTGAGGATTAAAAAGAGAGAGACAAGAAAACAAGTAGAAAATAGTCGTCATCTCTTGATCATGCTGATTTACTTATATTATTATGGCAGCTTTTAGACTAGGGCCAGAAGTGCTTGTTTAATTTTAGGGTTTTGGTGGTAGTATTTTTTAGGGCAGTGTTTTCTAAGAATGCTTTCTGTTCCTAGAGTGATAGTTTCCAGAGTCAGAGGGTGCTATTTTATAGAAGAGGGGAGGGGAAAGGAAACACTCACTTCGTGCCTCTTATTGACACTATGCTTTTATATACATATTTATTAATCCTTCACATTTTTGCAGATAGGAAAAAATGAGTACTAGACATAATAAGTGGCTTACCACCATCACATAGCTTAGTAATTGGTTAAAAGCAAGAGGTGAAATCAGGATTGTATTACTCCAAAGCTTGGGTTTTCTCTGTGCTGACTAGTACATAGTAAGCAATTCATTGAATGCATGGATAGGCATGTGTTTATATAGATGGATGAATGATATAAAGGGTGGAGGAACCCTGATGAAGAAATAGATGTTAAAAAGTAAAGAAGGTTAATATTGGAAGTTGTAAAACGACTTGAGGGAACTTTTGAACTTGATGAGAGCAAGTATTTAATTGTATTTGTCACAGTATTCAAAGCGTGTTAGGTATTACACATTTCTTTGCCTATGAAAGATTTAAAACTTGGTTCCAAAAATTTGGCCAAATGTGGTAAGAAGACAGGAAATACTAGGAATACTATGAGTTTACTTTATAACGATGGCGAAGTTTTCCCTCATTTATTTAGTAAAGAGAGATACATTCTTACGATGTCTCAGGTATTGCCCTAGGTTTGACAGAGCAGTA